TAAATACATCTGATTTCCCCAATAATTATATTCCATATAGATATTGGCTGAAGGTAGGTACATTTGTATTTTCATGTCATTCTTTAAATCAACTGAATTAAATTGATATGTAGATATTATAATGATACACAGTGGAGAACCAATTGTTATAGTTCTTACAGAAACCAAATTGTGAAACAGATTACCTTTTCTTTATTATCCAAAGAGGAGGAAAGTCTGGGACTTGAAGCTGAGCGCATGACACCTGCAGTGTCTTTTTCCTTCTGAGCCTCTTTAGATGCTGTGATTTCTGCAAGTGCACCATAACTGCCCGTCTTTCTAAGTCCTAACCTCCAAGATGCAGGAGACTCATCTTTTCTCTCTTCTTCTTTGGGAGAAATTTTTGTAGCTGAAGTTGGAAACTGTTTTTATTTAATTTTTCAGGAAAAGGAAAAAAAATTATCAAGACCAATCAGTCCTTAAACTGGAAAGGAGAAGTTTACAGATTAAACACTTTAAAATTACAGTTAATAGTTTCAGGAGAAACACTTACTAAGCAGGTTAATGTCTTAGTCAAAATGTAAAGATCTAAAACTGAAAAAAGAAATATTACCTGTTGAGATGTTAGGTTTAAGAACACACACTCCACACTTTGTATCACACAGAAAAATTATGATGCAAATAGAGAAGAGAAATGAGCACACCATAATGACTTAAAACCATGCATCGTTGAAACCAATATTCACATTAAACTTGTTATGTTGTAACCTAACATAAATCCTTGCACATGGAAAAGCCTCACCATAGATTTTTCACCCTTACTGGGCACAAGAACAATGCCAGTTTTGCGCAAGCCCTGCCTCCACGATGCGGGATCTACTGATTCCACCACAGGCATGATAGGAGCAATGAAATCATACTAAAGCCAATTAAAATAAAACAGGTAAAGAGACACAGATTGAAAGTTTGAAAATATAAAAGGAAGTTATGAGCAAAACAAACTTTTCTCCTTTTTTAAAAGAATTTTATAATAAAGTAAAACCCCAATACTGGGTAGCTATCTAATCTTTAAGAATCACTGGGAATAAGTTTCAGTTTTAACATAAGAGCATCTGAAAAAAATCTAACTGAGAAACTTCTAAGGCAGTTAAAAGCACAGAGAGCTGGTAATATTCTAGTATGGAGTGAACAAACTACTGCACTTGAATTTTGTTTTTATTCACTTTGTACTTGGGTTAAGAAATTTTAAATCCATCATCATCAACAAAAGTAATCATCAATATATATTTAATTCATTAATATTTTAAATATCATAGTCTTAAATTTACCACTGGATTTTTCTACCAAACATTAAACATGTCAACTAAAAACTATTTTTGTACAAATATTTATTTCATTTCAGTTTTCCAACAGCCCTAAAAACGAAACACCCATAATCTTTAACTAGTTTACTCCATCAACTACACTTAAAGAGTTTAAATATTCAACCACAGCTAAATATAGATGGTTAACACAGCAACTAACTAGTTACTACAAGCATAGGATATGTGTAATTTAAAAATAAATAACCCAAAACAATCTTTCTTTCACATTTATAGCCCAGGTTTACTGTAACAGAAGTTTAAAGGAACTTGTTAAAAGCACCATAGTGTTGGAGGTCTACTTTTTAGACAAAAAAACCTCTAGTGTTTCCAGTAATTAATTCCTATCAATAGGGTTAAAAAGAGACTCAAGACATGCGGCATTTCTCAGTTCCCAAAATGTGAACTGAGGCATTCAAGATGCAAGAACAAAATCACAGGAGTGCTATGGAATGTTTTAAAATTTTAAGTGAAGTACAGTGACATCTGTTGGACACAGTGCAAACTGCCATTACTTTTTGTAGTAGCTACTTAATAAATGAAATAAACAGGTATTCCTTTGGGTCAAATGGCACTGTGAAAAAATAAATCAGTAAAACACTCAAGTCTCCCTTGGCTGAGAAAGTCCAGGAAGCTCTGTAATATTTTACTCAGTATGATAGGCACAGGGATGATTCCTTACTGATTTCAGAGTTTAATGTCACGCTACTCAGGTTGAACACAGGTTGGCAAACTTTTTCTATGAAAGGTCAGGTTGTAAACTTTAGGCTTTAACTACTCATCTATGCTGTTACAGTACAAACCCATCCATAGGTAACACACAAGTGAAAGAATGTGGGTGTGTTACAATAAAACTTTATTTAGGGGCAGTGAAGTTAGAATTTGTGTCACGAAATACTCTTTTTCTTTTAATCTTCCCCTGCCTCTGCCAACCATTTAAAAATATTAAAAGCATTCTTATTTGCAGACTGTATAAAAAGCAGGTAGTGGGCCAGGTTTGGCCCACAGACTATGGTTTGCTAATCCTTCTCTGCCCCTAGAACCTTCCCCAAACTGGAAACAAATCTTACTCTTCCGTGATGAAACAGTAAATAGTATTTGCTGAATGTTACAGCAGAAGTGAACATTTAACAAATGTTCACTTGTGTCAGGCCTAAACTAAGTGCTTCATACTGGTTATCTCCTTTAGTCCTGCAACCACCCAATGAAATAGAACTTTACTATCATTTTAGAGTTGAGAAAAATGAGGCAGTATTATCAAGTTAGAGATTTTGTTGTACTGTTAAAAATGATATACTTCCTCTCTATCTAACATAAATTTCAATTTAAGAACTGGTTATCCGTTTAAAGGCATCTTTCTGTTTCTGGTGTATAAATGAACCTCTTTGAGAAACTCAAGTTTACTCATTCCCTGAAATTCTTCTTTTTGTTTTTATAACCAGGACAATATTTTGACTTTCCTATTTTGACTTTCCTATTCTTCTGACTATCCCCATTCTTGGTCTTTTTGTTGTAGCAACTTTCCTTGTCATCGTCCTGTAACATAAGCACTCCAACAGTCTGTTCTCATATATCCTATCTTCTCCTTATATTTTCTTCTGTGTGTTGGGAGTAGGGTCTTCTTTATATCCTCAAGCACTGTATTCAGCTTATTCTCAAACTTGCTATTCTGCAACTCAATCTCACTCCTAATTTCCTAGTTCTGAATTTCTATTTACCTGTAGAATAGACTATATATAAGGAAACTGGAACCTGAAACTGAAACAATGTTTAAAGTATAACACCTTTATTTCCAAACCAACTCATCCTTGGTTCCCTATTTCTGTTACTGGCATCAATAATCTATTCAATCCCTAAAAAAATTTTTTTGGCCACGTTGTGCAGGCATGTAGGATGTGGGATTTTAGTTCCCTGATCAGGGATCAAATCCATGGTCCCTGCAGTGAAAGCAGGGATTATTAACCACTGGACTGTGGAGCAAGCCCCAATCCCCTGAATTTGCAACTTGAAAGTCATGTTAGACCTCTTCTTTGTCATCTTCCTGCAATTATAAATTAAGTGACAAGTTTCTAAACCTCCTCCTCTCCTTTATATAAGACCACTGCCACTTTTCTGATTTATATTCTTTATCATGTTGGGAAACTTCAATGACTTTCTAATAAACCTTTCACTCAGTCTCTCACCTTCAAATACACCTGTACACTGGTGTCAGAATAATATTCTGTAAAGAATAATTCTCTTATGGCCTTGTTCAAATATCTATGATTCTCTATATCTATCAAATCACAAAAACGTTACCATTGGAATGAAAACATTTCACAGTTTGGCTCTACTTTTCCCATTTCACTTCATGTATGTATCCTGTAAATTAATCAAACTTGACAACTCATTTTTCCTGCAAAAATACTCCATATTATCCCTACTTGGATCACATCGTTTCTCTTCTCTTTCAACAAACTGTACAAACTCTCCTCTCTGTTAGGCTGAAATACTACCTACACATTCTTTAAAATCTATCATAAATGTTCTAACTCCACTATCTCAAATCAAAAATGATTTCTTCCATTTTAAAACCACTGTTTTACAATTATAAACTTTTACTGGTATACTTCATATACCCATAGCACATAGTCTTTTATTGGATTTTATTATGTTTGATAATTAGATTCAATTAGCAAGAACATGTAATCAAGAAAACTCTAAATTTTCATCATCTAGTGAAGAAAATATAGTTTACAAGTACTGGAATGTATGTGTAGATAACAGAATAGCTAATCTTTTTTAGAGATTCCAACAATATTTACTTTGACTACAGAGTTATATATATAAACAGTGTTAGTTAAACTTATTGTTAGTTAAAACATTAACTAACAATAAACCAACTGTTAAGATAAAATTTTAATATAATATAAAATATACATTATTTAACTTATTAAGTTAAATAATGAAATAAACTTACTAAGATCAAACTAATGGTTTTACAGTTAATATATCCACAAATTATAGGCTTGATCTCATTGCTACAGGAATTGTTCTGCAATTGTAGCTGACAAGTTAACAACTGAAGAGAAGAACTTTTTAAAGTGAACACCTCTGTTTCTCTGCAGTTATCAGCAGTTATGACAGAATATAAATGATATTTAATACTGTTTTAGAGCTTTCAGGGTTGTGATCTATTCCTTGCCATGAATGTTCATGTGTATGTGTGTCTATTTATGTAAGGCTAATGCATTGGTAGAAGAAGCTAGAGAACTTAAGATAGCTTTGTCTAAAAAACAGAAGCTGAGGAGTGAGAGGCAACCTAAACACAGAACTCTTAATTACAAAATCTTCTATGATACATTTATAAATTAAGAATTCATTTAAGGAAATTTGTTAGCTCTCTAAGTTACAGGGAAAATCTTAAAACGTTAAAAACAAAAACCTAAAATGCTAAAGTAAATACAGAATTACTGAATATAACAGGCTTTAAAAGTCATATATAGTACTGATTAAATTTTAAAATACTTCATTCTTTTGTACAAGACTTTATTATTTTGAATAAAATTTGGCCATAAAACATTAAGAACAAATACTGAGACAAAATAATCTTTAAAGTAATCTTCAACTTGAGAATAAAATGCAGTTTCCAAATATACAAATTAGACAAACAACTGTCATTAGGTCAACTTAATTAAGAATTAGAATCAATTCTGATTAATAACTAATAAGAATAAAATAAGAACTTTTATAGCAAAGAGATAATTGGCTCACTAATCTAACAGAGCTATTAAGTATTTGCTTTCAGTGAGGGTAGCTGGCATAAACTGAGAAGTAAACTGCCATAAATCTAGGGTTATGCTTGAGAAAAATATAATTGATAAGAAGCCTACTGTAATGACTTGACTACAGTACAAAAGACTAACAGCTGACTTCTTGGCTAGCTATGCCAAGGGAATGGAGCTTTTGGGAACTTTTTGATAAATTTGTAGTTCTAACAGAAAATAAATCAAAAGAGTTAAAGTTCAGTATTCACTGAAGAAGTAAAATGGGATTCTATAATTAAATAAACCTTTAGTTAAAGCAGCTCATGGTAACTCCAGTTATGATAACTATCTTGAAAATTTTGCAGATAGACTGCTTCTAGAGAATTTCATTTTAAAGCATATAAAAATTATGGCCATTTGAGGATAATTTCTAATTGCATTTAAGAAGACCTCAGTTCTAGAATGTAGAGAGTGAGAGGATTTAGTCAGAGTCTCCTGATATTCAAACTGTACAAGTGAAATTCATGTTATTTCTACCGCTAAAAATTCACACTACTGCTTTCCTTTGGAAGAGTTTCAGGGGAGGATTATTAATAATAGTACGGATCTTTCTCTAGCTTATGATTTTAAAAGGCTCAAATTGTGGCCACTTGGTATCAAATCCAAAGACTAGCAAAACTGACAATATGATAGAACTGCTGTGGGGATTTAAAATCAGTCCCCAAACCAATGCAAACCAAACGATGTCAGATAAGCAACAAAACAAGAAGTTCAAAGGCAAAGACACGATAAATGAATACAATGTGTAATTTGTGAATGGACCCTTAATTTGAAAAATCAAAAAATTTTTAAAAATAAAACAAAAATCTGAAAAGTCAAAAAAACCTAGATTTGAAAAATCTAGAAAGGTGCTACTAGGAGGACAACTGGGAAAATTCTGAGTATGGTTTGTATATTAGCATAAATAATGTTCTATATCAATGTTAAATTTTCTAAGTATGTTGATTTCACTGTGGTAATAAGGGATAATGCATTTGTACTTAAATATATTACTCAGGAATACTGTGTTACAGTGAAAGTAGTCAATTCTTAAAACAGTTCTGAGAAAAGGAAAAAAAAGCATTGAGTGCATATGTGTGTGCGCGTGCACAAACGTGTATGTGAGCATGTGTTACATAGAGAGGGAAATGAGTTTGCTCATAAAAGACAGGTAAGGGCTGGTAGGAGAAGCCTTTAAAAAGGGACCAGCAGGTTAAAGAAAGGGAAAAAAAAAACAACCCTCAGAAAAACCCTTAATCTTTAATTTGGGTTTAAAAAAGTATGGGTTCTGAAACATCAGGGAGAAGAAGTCCTGAACATCAAGACACTAGCTGGAAAGCACTGTTTGGTGGAGAAAGGAAAGTAAGAAGGATAATAAATAAATGGGGAACAAAGTAAGGAAGAGGAAGAAATGAAACTAACATTCTGGGAGCACTTAAGCCACCAGCCAAGCTCTTTCAATTACTGCTTAACAAGGATAGCTTATTTTCTCTCTGTGTTACCGTTTTTGTCTTGTCCTTTTTTAGGGAGAACACATAAGGAAGATAGCAACTCGCCTACAGTCGTAACCACTGACAAGAGGTGGGGTCAGCAGCTGACCTTTGGTGTGCTCAGACATACCTGGTGCTCTGTAAATGAACTAGAAAATCAAAGATTCCAGTTCTCTTAGTGACTTGTAGCAGGTTTTTTTATGCTTAACTTATACACATGTGAAATTACCAAAAAAATAAAAGATACCAAACTCTTGTTTCTCAAAAGTCAAAGGAAATAAAAAACTACCATGCTCAGTAGTTTTTCATAAGAAAAATCTTATTTTTCTGCTCTTTATTTTTTTAATGATTAACTAGTATCAACTGCAAAAAGTACTTGCAAAAAGAATGTAAAAGGTTCAGCAGAAATCTCAGTAAAATAAAGAAAAAATATTTTTACTCTAAAATCTTAAACTTAGAACTGTCTTCATGCTTTAACCAAATGGTACTTACACAGAATACATTTATTTTTTAACAAACACTATTTTGTCTTACCTTTTTAATAGGTGATGTAGGTGTTGGCTGACCAGATGACACAGTAGGTGTTGTAACAGCTACAGGAGCTGCTTGTGTACTAGAAGTATTGGCATTAGTTACAGAAGCCATGGGTTTTGTCTTATCTTAAGGAGGAAAAAAGAAAAAAAAATTAAGAGTCATGATTCTAGATGAGTTCAGTTTCAGAGGTATTGAAAATAGTATTTAATACTGTATTTTTGTTTAAGGTTTTGTTAATTTAGTCTTTTCCCACTATCATCCCTTTTAACAAGAGAATTTTTCAAGGAGTTTCTAGAAATGTCTCAATATGTATGAGACCTAAATAAGAACATGTCACATAACCAGACTTTTAAGGATAAAAAGCACAAATAAAAGCTGACTTTCGTACTTCTAACACTATGGAAATCTTTTAAAAATTATTAATTTTCAAAACCTGAACACTTGAATACAACACAACTTCAAAAAATTCAAGAGCTATGTATTTTCTAATGAGTAAAACAACTTATATTGCTTTTCTACAACTTATACCTCTTCTTTGCTGTAGGACATCTAAAATTGTTCTTTCAGTAATTAAATTCCTGTCAAACAGTTACATTTAAATGTCACAAAGAGCCTTCCTTCTCACCCCTAAAAGGTCTAAAGTTAAATGGGTACATCAGTTGAATTAGGTTAAATCTCTTCCCACAATGTATCAAGACAATTTCCAACTAATAACTGATCACTTAGAAAAAGATTTTCGAAATATTAGGAAAAAATCAATATGATGCTAGCAAAAATTCAAAGACTATTTGAACACAGAAATCAAACTAGCCTTTAGCACAAGTCACATATAAACTTAAACCTTTAAGGTAACTATAATTTATAAATGGGCTAGAAAAATTTACTTTTCAAATGGTCAAGTCATTTAACTGAGCTTTAAAGTATTCCTTTAGTTTCAAATGGGATAGAACAGGTATCTTTCTATACTTTTGGGAAGAAATATACTGCTTTTAAAGTTCTATGAGATATTCATTTTTACTATACTACCTTTTTTCCCTATGTTAATAGGGCTGAAAGCATAGTTTCAAACTATATCAAAGGACAAGGCCAAACTGACACATTTAAAAATCACTATTACCATAGCTTTTCATATAAACTGAATGAGCTAAACTCAGTCTAATAAGTTTTTTTTTCTCATTGTTAAATCTCTTTTCATTCAACAGAAGCTAAGCCTACTCAGCATAATTAAGTACAATTCATGTATACTCTTAATTAAACCATCCTCCTGGGAAACAATCCATTTAACTGGAGAGATTAATTCAATGAATATTTATTAAGTGCCTAATACCTCAAGCACTGGTCCTAGGCACTGGGGATATATCAGTCAATGAAAAGACAAAATAACTGCATAAAGCTTATAGTCTGGAAGGAGAAATAAAGTTCAGCGTATTTTTTTGCATGTTCTCCTTTTTTTCTATTTTCTCTAAGTTTAAAAATTTGTTTTGTATTATTGAAATAAATATATCAAAGAATGTATATGCACATATGCAAACATTTATGGTTGTTTACTAGTAATAATGAAACAAACCCCAGGTATCCATCATTCAACTTAAGTAAACATTATCAATGTTATTGAAGCCCTTTATATTCATTTAACTTCAATGAAGAATAAAAACTTCATGTCCTAAAGGGAAAAAAAAAAAAACTAAAAGCAAAACTATGCTTCCCTTTCCTCATTCCCTCAACTACCTCTCAAAAGTTTATAAATCATTTGGAAGGAAATTAAACTTTTGGTTGAGTACCTATTTTCAATCTGATTTATATGAAACTGATTTAAAACTGGTTTTGTAAATATTTAACTAAAGAAAATCCAGCAAAATAGTTATTTAACATAAAATAGTTTCCCAAGGAAACAACACTGCAAAAAGAAAAAAGAAACAGTTTAGAAATTGTCAGGTCAAGCTGCAGCTCTACAGGGAAATGACTGCTTTCTCAAGCTTGCCAAATAAAGTATGATAAAGCCTTGTTGATATTAAAAGAGTGAGAGAGAAGGAACCACACAGCATTTACATGGGTTAATTCTTGAGATAGAGTCAAATTTTCCTGGCACAACTAGCTACTAGCAACAGGAAGAACACAATTATCAAGTACAATGCTTCAGAGAAACATTTAAAGTTAGCTTGCTGAGAAACTCAGCAGTGACTGGTACGCTTAAACTTCAAATTGGATGGGGAACACGTGTAAAGCCATTGTTGATTCATGTCAGTGTATGGCAAAAACCACTACAATACTGTAAAGTAATTAGCCTCCAACTAATAAAAATAAATGGAAAAAAACAAAAACAAAAAAAAACCTCATTCTTGCCCCCAGATCTATTGGGAACAGTGCTCCACTGCTTGTGAGGCACTGTACTTTCCCAATTCACGGATTGTTTCCCCTTGAATAAAGGACATCTGACCTGTTTAAAAAAAAAAAAACCTTCAAATTGGGAACTAACATAATACAATTTGATGGTAATTAGTTCTAAACTATCCAGATAACCTAGTCTAATTCTTTCTCAAGGAAATTTCAACCAAAAGGTCAGGAGATTTGCTAGTTAGCAGTGCCTAATACTGAGAGTTTGTATGTTGTTGCTGTTTAGTCGCATCCGACTCTGCGACCCTGTGGACTATAGTCCTCCAGACTCCTACATCCAAGGGATTCTTCTGGCAAGAATACTGGAGTGGGTTGCCATTTCCTTCTTCCAGGGATCTTCCTGACCCAGGGATCGAACCTGTGTTTCCTGCTTGGCAGGCAAATTGTTAAAAAAAAAAAAAAAAATTGCTATTTAGAAAGGCTGAGAAGACTGTATGCTAATTTGAACAGGTAAGCTGTACAAGAAAATTTCCTATCATTTTTTATATCCTCCAAGTTGGATTCCATTGTGTATGCTTTTTTCTTTCTTCAGACCTCTTTAACTTCAGACTGGAGTTGAGCAGAAACATGGCTTAGTCCTTTTCCCTCAAATCATTCTCAGGCTCCAGACAAGGAGCTGGACCTCTGAGAAATTTTAAGTGGCAGTGGAAGTTTTTAACTCTGGAGGCTTTTCAGGAGTATATAAGAACAAGGAACAAGCTGCTCCTCTCTCAGCTCTTTCCAGGAGTCAGACCCTAAGCAGATGGAAAGGCACTGTAAGACACATTAATCTACTGCCATCGGGACAACTTGCATTCACCCTGGGAGGCAGGTGAATCCCTGGGGATTGGTGATGAGACGCTGCAGCATCACCATAATCCACGCTGGGATAGGTCCTGTCCTGTCCTCCAACCTGGAAGCTCCTTTGAGTCAAACCACATTCTCATGAGAGCTCTTTGTGATCCGTGAGCATCTGAAGTGCATCCGAACCTGAAGCTGTGGAGGAATGAGTTGGCAGATGGATTCTTTACCATGAGTCACCAGGGAAGCCCAGTGAGTTGTGCAGAAGGGATCAATTAAGAAAAAATTAGGTAACAAAACCTCTGAGACATCTGGACTTTCAGTTCTTGAACTCTTCTGCATGAGCTGGGAGAGCTGCGTGCCAGTCGTGGTGTGCATGTGCACGTAGCTTGATTTGTAATGATGTGTTTCACTAGAGGACAGAAGAGCCTACTGTGGCGCACTCCTCGAGGTCAAAGGAGTCAGACATGACTCAGGCTGAACAACAACAACATCTCACTAGAGACCAGGGGCCAAAGCCTATCTCAGAGAGGAGATTAACTACGTAAAAGTAATTCAAATACTTGTATTTGAGTCAGTTTAAATTTCAATGGTGTCATTTTACCTTTCAAATGAACTGAACAAATTTAACTGAAGTATTATTAGATAAACATGTACATTAATCATATTTAAAAGAGTAACTTTAATTTTATACAATATATGAAAATTAATATTTATTAGAGTAATTATTATATAGTATCCATGTAAAGCAGGTATTATTACCCTGATTTCACAGAGAAATCAGATTAAATAACTTACATCCACAATTACATGCATGAATCAGTTCATGTTCTTGAACACTGTACATGCTGATTTTCATATAATTTGCTTTCATAATTAGAAATATTTTAATTAGCATGTTATACAAATAAATTTTAATAGTCAATGACTACCTGTTGTTCTACTTCCAATTTTACTTATACTACTGTGTCATCAAGGCAAAAGATATGCTGACTTACCTGACCAGCAATGTGACAGCAATAAATAAAAAATTATCAATAAATCCCTAGACACTAAAACCTAGTCATTTTATAAACCTCAAAAACTCGTGTATTTCCAAAAAATAATTTACTTGTAGTACTAGTAAGTTCAAGAAAATAAAGAAATTCATAACGTATCACCTGGCAACAAAGCTAGCCTGTACCTAGTTGGCAGTATCTTGTTTTTAATGGGAAAGAGAATTAACAATATGTTCCTTGACATATTTATTTAGTAACTTTAACTTCTCACATTTTCTTAGAGAAAATATTTTGCTGAGTGAGTAAAAATAGTCTGATTCAAAACTGCTGTTGTTGAGTCCACAGGAAATAGGGGGAGCTTAAGGGATTCTAGGGTTCCTTTGTGTTTATCACTTGATCACCAAACTAGTCCTGAGATGATGATGACAGTTTTGCATTGATAAAAATCTTAATGGAAATGAAATACTATTTCTGGTAAATATATTAAAATGCCAAAATTCCAGGTTACACAACTCAAAGATGGCAATACTGGAATCTCAAACTCTTCAGAAGTTTTGAGTGATTAGGCGGTAAAGAATAAAAGCAATTCAGTGAACAAAATTTATAAAAATGTGAGCCAGAGGAAAAAAAATGCAGAAATTGCACCTTGATAATAAAGAGGATTTAAATTGTTATAGTAAAACAATCTGACAGCATCTGTGAAGAATGAAAATATGACTCAATGATCCAACTTTTCAGTATATCTGTTAGAGAACCTCTTGGACATATATACAGGGAGATAATTATAAAATGACTGCTCCAGGACTGTTTACAATAAAACATTGGGAATTAGGCTAATTTTTTATCAAAAAGGAAATCAACATTTAATGAATATTATACAGCAACTGAAGGGATAGATTACCTATGAAAAGATACAGATAGAAACAAAACTTTTAAGTAAAAAAAGCAAGCTGCATAACGATTCTAGGGTACAAAATAAAAACACAAAACAACCTTATAATTACTATATATTATTTTTGAATGCAAGATAAGAGTATGACAATGGATTAGGAGATTCAGGAAAAAACTCATGATAGTGATTTGGGAAAGAAATGAAAGAGAAGTAGACTAGGGTGATGATTAAAGAAGACAACAGTTTTAATTTTATTAAAAGAAAATTAAAAACAAATAAGTTAAAAGTCAATAGCTATTTCGTTTTGGTAGTCTGAGTATGAATGTTTATTATATTTTCCTGTATCTTTAAAATTTCTCAAAACAAAATAAATTTCCCCACACGTCTACAGGAAAAAGTCTTGGGACTCAGTCCCAACTTTCTAAAACTTTAGTATTACTCAGGAAATATTTGGGAGCCAGCTTCCTGTATTTGGGTCTCAGAAAGCAGCAGGAACATTCTTGAATTGCTGGGAACCCACCTAACCCTATCTGTACCACCCAAAAGGAGTCTTAGAAACCTCTTCATCTTCTTCAAAATAGGTCAGTAAAACACAGAGGTGATCAACAGCATCCAGGTAATTAGAGAATGATAAAATCACAACTACACTTAAAATCCCAACACTCCTGAAAGGTAATTTACAGGCTTGTTGCTGGCTTGGCAGGTATCTTAAATAGCATGTCAGTCTGAAAGGTTTCAAAATTAAATTGTGACCTCATCTTACTTTACACTCTCTCAAAATTTCACTGAAAATCCTTTTATCCTTCACATTTTACCTGTTTCAGCTTCTGATTCTGAGTCATCTTCCTCATCTTCTTCACTAGAGCAACTAGATTCATCTTTCTTTCCTTCTTCTTCATCATCAACCTTTTCTTGTTCCAGAGATTCAATACGTGATGCATTTTTCTCAGGCTCAATAATCAATGTCTCTTTGCTGTAAAAGGAAAAAAAGCCTTAAAATAATTATAAAAAAGGTCAAAATATAATATAAATGTATTAATTTTTCTCAGAACCACAAAATCTAATAATCATATCTGTGGTTATCATGCTAACTCATTTAAAAAAATAACAAAATCTACTTAAATATTTTACTTACTTTTTAAAGGTCTTCTGTGACTGATTATTATCCATATTAGCTGTTGATTCAATTAGTGGAGATTTCTTTTCCCGTTTTTCACTATGGAGCTTTATAAAAGTTATGCAAAGAAAACTAAGAACACTATTAAAATAATATTAATCAGCAAAATACAGAATTTAAAATAGCAACAAAGTAGGTTCCCAAACACTAAATGAAAACAAAACAGATAGAACAAAGATTTAAATTTTACCTAAGAAGAAAAGGGCTTGGATAAAGAATAAAAAAGAACTAGACAGTTAAAAATCTCCACAAAGCAAACTTCTCTGGTGGTCCCATGGCTAAGATTCTACCCTTCTGTACAGAAGGCATAGGTTCAGTTCCTGGTTAAGGAACTAAGATATGCTATGCAGCCAAAAAAAAAAGGGGAGGGGGGAATGCTCCACAAAGGATTAAGTTGGATTTTTTTTTTTTAAAGATCCCTCCAACTTTAGTTTACTGAAAAAGCCAGAGTCCATTAATCATTTAGGATGTCTGATAATACTTAAACAACTGCTTCCTAGTTATGTAACTGCTTGCTTTTCTAGGGTATGCTATTTTTGAAATCTGAGATTTTATAGTCTCCACCTTCTAAGCAAACTTCCTTATGAAATCAAAAAATCATTACTGAGAACATACACATTATACAGGGCTTCCCCGGTGGCTTAGTAGGTAAAAAAATCCACCTACAATGCAGGAGAAGGGGGTTCGATCCCTAGGTTGGGAAGTTCCCCTGGAGGAGGGCATGGCAACCCACTCCAGTATTCTTGCCTGGAGAATCCCCATGGACAGAGGATCCTGGCAGGCTACACACAGTCCATGGGGTCTCAGAATTGGACACAAATTAGCAACTGAGCACACATGCACATACATTATCTAAGTATTCCTTTGGGAAGGGGAGGCTAGAGAAATGGGGAAAACAACACAAAAGGCTAAAAAAATACCATCACTACTCCTTTATTCTCATTTACTGTCATTTAATTTGTTTGCTGAGAATAACTTAAAACCAAACAGTACAAAATATTATAAGAACACCTTTTCAACTGTCTGAAATCAAAGTTATATGGGAATTCACCAAGAGAGACAATTTTTAGATAAGTCATCAAACGTACCAGATTTTGTTTCTTTTGCAGATCCTCTAGATACCCTAAAATGTCTTCATCTGCTACATCAAAGGCTGTCTGGCCCTACATAGAAAACAAAGGGTTGATGATGATAAAAAGTTGTCAATAAATTATGCCCTCAGTGATTCTCCATAATTCTACAGAAAGAATTAGGTAATTTTTTTTTATAGTAGGTACAAAACATGGTACAAATGACTTGAAGTAGATAAATGAAAAATCCATGTGAGCAAGAAGCAACTGATATACATCCTTACTTATTTTGGTAACAGCTTTATTGATCTATAGTTCACATACAAGTCAACTATTTAAAGTATGCAATCCAATGGTTTTTAGTATATCCACAAGTTTTACAACCATCACCACATCCAGTTTTAGAACATTTTCATCATCCTCAAAATAAATGACATACCCACTGCCATCTCCTCACCATTCCTCCTTGCTCTCCCAGTCTAAGACAACCACTAACGTACTTGCTGTTATTGTAGATTCTTGTTACTGTACTTATTCTGGACACTTCAAACCAAAGGAATCCTACAGCATATAGTCCTTTGCGATTGGCTTCTTTTATTTTACATACTGTTTTCAAGGTTCTTCCATGTTGCAGCAAGTATCTATTTCATTCCTTTTTTAATTGCTGAATAATATTTCATTGTATGATACACCACAGTTTGATAATTTATTCACTGGCTGATGGACTTCTGCATCTGCCTTTGCTTTTCTGATATATAATGAATAACACTGCTATGAACATTTGTATACAAGTTTTTGTATGGACATCTTTTAATTTTTTGGGGTATAACAGCTACAAGCAGAATTACTGGGTCATGTAGTAACTCCAAGTTTGCCTTTTTGAAATCTTATTTCTATTTTACCGCCATAAAAATTAATTAAATTCTTACTAGAGTAATAAAATTATGCATTTCAAATATATTTAAAAGTTCAGCTAGTCACAGGTATGACTTAGTTTCAAAAATCAGTACAGGTGAACATCTGTCAATCTGTTTTTATTCACAGTGGAAAAGACAATTTTAAAGAGCTGGTGGCCAAAAATAGTCTCATAATATTTTAAAGACTAAAACTGTATTTTTAAAAGTTAAATTATTTAAGGTACATTTAAAAGGCTTACCACTTTGTTGACCATCTCCATATCACACAGATTGTCCACTAAAATCCGACATGCTTCTTCTTTACCCCAATGAGCTGCAGCATGAAGAGGTGTCCAGCCATCATAATCTTTAATATTAACATCATAGCCTGCCTGTATTAAAAGTCTAAACAAATTACAGTGAATTAGATAATCATTAAAATCTAGAAATAAGTGAACATAATCAACAGCTATATACCATGCACTTAAACAAAAATTTGCAATATATTTCTTTTCATAGTTCGAAATTTCTCCTCCCCTCAACAAATTAACTAGGGCAAAAGAAAGTAATTCTCAGAAAACACTGGAATAGAGAATCTTGAGTTACTGCCATAATAATGAATTCAGTTTTAATTAATTCCTCATAATTATTCCTCTTACTGACTGTGTCTTACGGTTTGGTATGACACTGATTCTTATTAAGATGTTTCTAACTGAAATTTTCACAGGGAAGTCTATAATTTTTCAAAACTACTAGATCAATTTGTATGTTAAACTGATTTATCGTAGGAAATGGCTTCCATATGATATATCATCTCAGGCTGAACACGTTCTCAAAATACGGGATCAAACAAATTTGTAGTGTTATTGTTGCTTTGCAGTTAAGGAACTGGTTTGTGCAAGTTTTCATGAACCTTTATGATCTACCACTGGAAATTTTCATAGGAAAATGACAATCTGTTAGAAACAAAACAAAGCGGAACAAATATTCTGAGGGGTTGAGTCTACTTTCTGTAGCAGTAGAAAGCAAATATTCTAATCATCAACAAAGCTAGAAAACAGGAATACATTTTAATACAATGCAAGAAGTTGCATAAATGTTAGTATGCCCTTCTAACTATATATCGACATCAACCTTTATTTAGAAATTAAGCTCATAAGAGATCAAAGAATGGGTCTATAAATTGCACACAGCACAGCCCCACACACAAAGGCGAACACTAAATACCTCATAACTCAAATCTGGTTAACCTTTACCTTACTTTCCAAGATGTTGACCTTGAGAAGGGCTTCTTTTTACCTACAGGAGGTGGTAGTGATAGCTAACATATAATCATTTATTTATGTTTAAGAACTGATTTCCCTATTTCCTAACAATATCTAAAGAAGATGTTTCTATTTATGGCTCCATAGTGGAACCATCTTAAGAACTTGTTTAAAAAAAAAAAAAAAAAGGATTCCCCAGCTCCACCCCAGTTCCACTGAATTAATCAGTATTTTGGGAGATGGGCCCTGTCAATCTGTATTTTTAATAAGTCCTCCATATGACCTCACATCACTGACTGTTTCTGATTGCAGATCAACATTTAAGAGCCACTGATCTAAAAAACAGGGTAGAAGATGTAAGTCTGAAGCTTTAAGTTAAAAAAATATGGGTACTAACACATACATCATCAGATTTTAACAGGGAAAAATAAAAATATATCCACCATTAGGAAATATGAACTATAATAATGTTAAATATCCTGAGTGGTATTCTAAGTACTGGGCAGTCTGTGTGGAGAGAAAGGAAGAAACATTCCCCTCTCCCCGCTTCCAAACATAAGGCTCTCTATATGCCAGGCCATGCAAGGATATTCCAAAGATAGAAGATGGTACTTATTATACTCAAGGAACTTCTAATGGAGGACAAAAGTCAAGTAAAACGACAATCAAGCCTCACAGACAGGTTCTATGGTGAAGCTGCCTTAGAAGTACAGGGCTGAAAATGCTAAAAGTCAGCCTAAAGGGGCTGTGTGTGTTTGCAGGAAGGGGATAAAGGGGGAGATAGCAAGATCTGAAATGGATCTCTTCTATTTATTTTTGATTTCATATTTTCTTTCCTAAGTAATATACGCCCAAGTTTCAAAAATAAAAAAGAACAAATGACTATACAGGAAAGTCACTTTCCCATTGCTGACCTTTAGCCAACCAGCTTCCCCTCCCCATAGATAATCATACTACTATTTTTTATTAGATCCTTATAGAGAGATTTTAGGCATATATAAACAGATAAAACTTAAATTAAAAAAATAAACACAAATGAGGCATAGTTCTATTCGTGGCCTGACACTTAACACATCCTATTGCTGCTTTCATATATTAAGTAGTGTTTTAATCATTATAGAGTATTCTAGTGAAAGGATGTATCATAATCTAAGCAATCATTATCCTACTCCAACCGTAAACAATGTTGCTAGCACATACCTTATTTCCTAAGGGAGAGTAAGAATATCTGTAAAAAAAATTCCCAGAGGTAATGCTGCTAAACCAAAGGATAACTGTCACTTTGATAAAATTTGCTCAATAGTCCTTTTTAGTTCTACCAATAACATAAGAGTGACTTTTCCCAACTTTGCCGACACTGTGCCAGGCATTTTGATCTTTGCCAGCACAGTAGATGGAAAATGATGATTCATTGCAGCTTTATCTGCAATTATCATGAATGAGGCTGAGCTTTGTTTCCCATAGACTGAAGAGCCTTGAACTGAGTCAAAGGATCAAAAGGAATTTAATTCCAAATTGAAGAGATGGTGAATGAAGGTATCTAGATAGAAATAAGAGTATGCTTTAAGACAGCATGACAGAACTTAAAGAGGATATATATAGTTGGACTCACGCATGCCTGAGGATCAGTGGTAGCAGCTTACCTTGAAAGAGAAACCAATGGCCAGATGACTAATGGTCTTATGTGCTAGGCTGAAGAGTTTAAAATTCATCACAATTTCTGCTAAGAATCTTAACGAAGGACATTAAGAGCCTGGATAACTGAATTACAAACACCACTTGGAAGCAGTCTAGAAATCCATTTAACAGGGCAATCCAGTACTCATTCACAGAAACAAGATTTTAAGAAACAAAATTATCTTCACCATATGTAATACTCTTTGATATTTTGAATTCTTTTCTTTTAAATGCTATTTGCAATTCACTAAGTTCACTTCATGACCCACACTAATGGGCCTTGAAAGTTTGGAAAAGTTTTGTACTAGAGAGAAACAGATGAGACAAGGAAACTAATTAAGAGTTAAATGTACCATTCTAGGAGAAGGCTTAAGTTCCTCAAGTGAGTAGAGACTGAAATAGGAGGAAATCTGGAATAACGGACCCACTTAAACTTCTTCACTGTTTTTACTGAAGAGGGGGAATAAGGAGGATGGATTTATATTAGAGGCCCAGGTGGAACAAATGTAACATAAAGGATGCAGGAGATTTTGCTCAGGGCCAGTCTTATTAGCTTTCACATACATACAACAAAAGTTATGCAATGAATTCTTTTTTTTATATAGTTGCCAACACCTTTGCATTGCATAAGAAAAAACCAAAACACAAATTTATTGTGACATAAAGGAGCTTTTCCTAAGGATATTTGCTGGTCAATAAGTCGGTCCCCTACATACGAATCTTTAAGTTTCGAACTTTCAAAGATGTGAACATGTATTCACATGCCCAATCATAGAAGTTAGTTCATGTGTCTGGCATAGACTACCATGTGTGTGCATCCACTAAAAGTGGCTGTGCTTCTGAGTACTTTACCATACAATACTGTATATAATACAGCAGTACAGTACCTTCATTTCAAGCCCAGGGTTCCAGAAGCAAGTGTAAAACCAGCATTGATGTACCTGGTACTGCTAAGAAGTACCAAGCAATAACAATGGAACCAAAGTGACAGTGATTAGAGTGGAATGACGTGAAAAGATGGAACTGGAGGCCCAGAGAAAGGACGAAGAGAGACAAGAGGAACAAGTTAACGGAAGCACAAAAGCGATTCACAACACGGGAAATGGCAAGGGGAGTTTCTTCATCTGAGGAGGCACGGGTAGCTTTTGAGTCACAGGCCCCGAATGTTAACAGGACAGGAAGGTTGCAGCAGCTGTCCAGAACGGCATCCAGTGCTACCGTGTGATCTACAAGAAGAGAAAAAGAGCTACTACCCAGACAACACTGGGTCATTTTTCCAAGAGGGTAGATAGAACTGAATCCAGCAAGCAGAACCTGGGCCGTCAACGTCACACACGAGTGACGCTGCAGCCTGTCCTCTGCTCCTGCTGCTGCTGCTCCTTCAGCTCTACCATCTCCTACCACCGCTCCCTCCGCAGGTCAGCAACTTCCTGTCTGCTCACTCAGTGCCCGCCCTGTATGCCAGGCAGTGTGCTGCAGTACTATACTTTTCAAGGTATTGTACTGTAAGATTAAACACATTTTATTTCTTGGTCATCTTTATGTATTATTTTTGTGGAAAGTATCATAAATCTATTAAGTACAGTACTAGATTGTGTTAGTTGGGTACCTGGGCTAACTCTGTTGGACTTACAAATTGGCGTTATGAATGCACTCCTGGAACAGAACTTGGTCATATATAGGGGACTTACTGTATAGTCTAAGTTGCTTATGGTTTAATATTATGCTAATAGCACTCTGAATTCCAGTGCTCACATAGTGAAAATATTAAAAAGAAAAAAAGAAAAAAAAAATCAGACAAATTTTATGTAAGTAAATAATCAGTACAAATCACGCTCTCAGAATTTGATAGTATGTATTATACACAACATTATTCTTAGTTTCTGTATCCAGAGCTCACCTATCTGGGAACCTCAAAGTGACTCTAATAATTTACCAGACCAGAAGGTAATGGTTGTCTGACACTTAAATTTTACTGATCAGAAAACTGCAATGGAAAAAAACAACAGGAGAATAATAAAAATTGGAGAATGAAAGAACTTCAGAAATAAAACAATAACATTCAACATTTAAGTAATTTTCAAAAACTGTTTCAAAATAATGTTAGCAGGTATCTTAAAAAAGGAAAAATGAAATAAAGAAAACAAAGCAGAAAAACAACTGTGAGAAGCAATACTTACTTTAAAACTTCTGTATAGCCCTTGGCGGCTGCAACGTGAAGTGCTGTACCTCCAGATTTTGCATGCCGGACATCATTTATATGACCACTATTTAACCACTGTCTGGCATCTCTAAGCATTATTCGTTCCTCTTCTTTTCGAGCTGCTTCTATATCAACCCCTGATATGATAAAAATAACTTTTTATTTTTTTCTCTATAGAAAATGTTTTTGCTCGGAAATAAAATTATCTAAATTATTTTAAGTGAAAATTAAAAGTGATATTATATTTTTGAAAACTGGGCTGCTTAGAACATGCTGGTTAAAGAAATGAGGGAATACTGTAGATATTTTATTAGCATTTTTTGTTAACTATTTAATTTTTGTCCTTACAATATTTTTTTGGCTTTTTTTAAAAAACCTTTTCTGCTTATTCCTTTTGTTTTTGAATATTTGAACATTCCTCAAGGTATATCTTCCTTTGGTCTAAAGAACAGATTTTTTTTTTTTAAGCACACTCATATATATTTAAGTCTCAATTTTCTATCCACCTGCTTTGACTAGTTCTCTGAACTCTAGCCTAGTAGGTATAAATGTTTATTGAACACCAACTTGGAGGTCCTGTCTTCATGTAAAATTTAACAGGCCTTAAGACAGATTATTGTTTTTTACCAACACAGTACACTGTTCATATCATTAGTATCAGTTTTATAATTTTAATAATAAGTTATACAGATGTTTATTCATTTAAAAGCCTGAAGCACTGTGCTAGGTTGAGGTGATAAGAGGAGGGGAATTCAGAATGGAATAGAACCTTCAAAGAGCTCAACATTCTAAGAAAAAAACTAAAAGAGAAAAGCTAATCCTGAAATTCTTCAGTAATCTCATGTTATCTTATGTTTTCAAATGCTATTTAAAAAACAGCACACACCACATCATTTACACTCTAGAAGATCGTTAAGTTTTAAGATTTTTTTAAAATGGTGAAGATACTGCCTTTTTATCTTCTATCCCAATCATCTGGATGGGTACTTGATATAAAGTAAAAAGGATCAGTAAATGTTTACTAAATGAATACTGTTTAGTTGCTAAGTCGTGTCCGATTCCTTTGCAACCCCAAGGATTGCAGTCTACCAGGCTCCTCTGTCCATGGGATTCTCCGGGCAAGAATAATGGAGTAGGTTGCCAGTTCCTTCTCCCGGGGATCTTCCTGACCCAGGTTTTGAATCGGAGTCGCCTGCATTGGCAGGAGGGTATTTCTTTACGCTGAGCCACCAGGGAAGCCTCAGGTTCCAACACTTGCCCAGAAACCCGGAGGTCATCCTTAATCCCTCCCCTTACCTTATTTCCAGCCCTCATCCAATTAGTCGGCAGATTTTGAGCTGCCACCTCCTAGAATGTCTTTTAATGGCTCCTTATACTATTTTAATTCATGTCTTATGTCTCACACTTTGATGACTACAGCTGGCCCTTAATTCATTTACCCCAGTCCCTTCTGAGTCATTCCCCATATGATCACAAGACTGGTTTTTCTATATCAAAATATGATCATCCCACTTTTCTGTAAAAACCCGTCAATGACTGCTAAGCTCCTATAAGACAAAGCTCAAGCCCGAGTGTAGCGTACGAAGCCGTTTATGAATTGATCTCAAGGCACCTTTAGTCTCTAGTCTTCCTCCCCTACCACCACCCAGTGTTCTAACCATCTAGGGTCTTCACACAGGTCAAGTACGCCGTGCTATTGTGCAAGCCGTTATCCTCCACCTGGGATGTAGCCTTATCTTGCTTGCTTTATTTATTCAAGACACAACTCAACTGTTGAACTGAAGCTCAATCTTAAAAAAGCAGGCAAAAACAGAAAAGTATTTTTAAAACCCCAAGATTACAGAAGTACCAGCTAAAGTCATCTTAAAACTAGAGATCTTATTACTACACATGAAAGAAACTCACAATAAGACTTTCCAAACTGACTTGATAAAACAATTATATATACAATATATAACAAATAAAACCCATTATCCTTATTTACAAAGCATCACCATTTCTATAAAAAAGCAATTTTATACATTATAAATTTCCTATCAAAAGATAAACAGCCCAACTTATTGAAGATGTCTTCTAATGTTATTCATAAAAGTAATTATAAGGCTGCAACTGTAATACATAAGAATAACCTTTCTACAAAATGACTTTTCTCAGACTGATTTATTTTCTTATGCTTTATTTTTTTACTATGTATTTTAAAACATGAACGTATTTATTATCTTTATCCCTTTTCTCTTTACCATCTTAAACAGCCTGACTGTTACTGTCTTTTATATTATTCTAAATTTCCTCTGGACTTGAAATAAATAAAATATCTGCTTCTTACTTCTGGATTTATCTAATTTCATGCTTTCTTTATCTTATTACAAAGCAATTACCCTCTGCTGCCACCAAATTGTGCCTTTATATAAATTATATATAAAAACAACTCAAGTCTAAAATTTAAGTATATGTGAAGGGAAATTTCTTATGTTTAAGTAAATTCAGTTACCAAAAAACCTAACAACAACAATTTTCTTGCTTTTAAAATCTTTTTAAAAATACCAATGATTAGAACGATGGACAATTACATTTTTTTAAACCTCATCAGACAATATAATATATATAGAGTGTATATATATATATATACATATATAAATAGAATATGTATATAGAGAGAACAATACTTGTTTTCTAATTCCAGTGTTTTAACTAGGCTAGTAACCTTCAGACAGCCATAACTTCTTTCAATATTAATATAATGAGTTAAGAACACAGATCTGAATCTACACTGCTTGGTTTCAATCCCTGATCTGCCACTTACTAGTTCTATCATCTTGAGCAAGACACAATCCACACTAGCATTCAATTTTTTTATATTTAAGTTAGGAATATACAAAGTACCTATCCACAATGTTGTTGTGAAGATTAAATTAATTAACAAATGTGAAGTATTTAGAAGAGGAATAAGCACTAAGGTGTTAATTATCACAATCAGTTCTAAAAGTCTATGATTCCGCTTCTCTTTTATTGCCTTGTGGACTAAGAGGAAAAAGACCCTATAAAGCGTTTTACTGGTCTTTAATTTACCTACCGGTCTTTAGTTTACCTAAATTTGCAATTACCTATAATTGCAAAACTTTTAAACAATGAAAACAATGTATACTGAACTAAATGGGGTATGATATAATAAAGTGACTAAACTATTTACCATCTGTCACTACTATTAAAAAATAGTAAATGTTGACTTATAAGAAAATGTTAGTCAATTTTCTTAGGTAAGAAAACATAAAACTGAATTGGAATTTGGTTAGATAAGAGATGCAAAAATTGACTTGTATTCCAAGCTAAATAAAGAAAATTACTTTAAAACATAAATCAGAAATACTTTCATCTATTCAATTATTACTACTTTCAAAGGAAATTTACTTAAGCATGACTAGTTGTTGATAATCAAGTATATTAGAATAAGAAACAAGAGCCAAAAGAATGATCAAAGAATTTTAAAATATTAAATAGTATCTTTCATACCAGGATAAATAATTTGAGAAATTTTGTCATTACTAATGATATATTTAGGAGGCTCCTTTTATAATTGTTCAACTCTACTGATAGATGAGAGAGAAGCGCCTATCTTTTTTTCTATGGAATAAAGCTATGTTATATAAATCATGTATTCCCATGAATAAATGAACATTAGGAAATATTTCTAGGAGACATCCCTAATAGAATGCAGTATGGTACTCTGAGGAAGAGTGTAGGGCTCAAGGTATCCATCGAGCTGGCTGGGACGGAACCACATACAGCACCACTCCCTCCCTGTTTGACCGTGGGCAAATCGCTGAGCCTCCTTTTCTCATCTGTAGAACGCAGTGACAGCACCATTAACCTTGCAGAATTGCTAAAAGGGTGAAATGAAATAATGTACGTAAAGTCTTCTGCTCAACGCCTGGCAAATAACTAGTATTTAGATTATTTTAAAAAGAGTTAGCTTTTATTTTTAGTATCAGTGCTTCACTTTCAGTTTCAGGGTCATATTATATATTATTTCCCAGAATTTCTCATTATTTTTCCAGATTTACGTTTTCCATCCTGACACCTCCTAGATTCCAACATGTCATTTAGATGAACACTGCCATTTAGATGTGCTCTAGCAACCACAAGTTCAATACATATCAAAACAAACTCATGCACTTTCTCAATCTTTTCCTGCTTTGTTCCACATTTTTCCATGTGAATTCACCCAAAAATCACTTCTTAAACTGGAGGCAAATTAGGTGGCCTCAATTCTTCCTTCAACTCCATATTCAATTACTCACCAAGCTGTTTTAATTTTACCTTAACATTTTCTGAAAACAACCCTGGCTCTTTGCTCTTTTCCCTATTAAATATAATTATTTTGGCCCTACTGGTCTTTCTTCTGGATTAATTGAAGAGTCTTCCTCAGGGAAGGGATAACACCATGTATTCCCCATTTGAATTTATCCTCCAGATTACCATCAGTTTTATTACTAAACACTAAATCCAATCAGGTTAATTTCCTGCTTGGGGATCTTTGTTGCATCTGTCTAATGCCTATAAAATAGATGTCCACCATCTGGCTCTAGACTAATCTTTTCAAGTCTCAATCTCATACTAATTCCATCTTGATTTTCTTACTCCATTCCAATTCTAGTGAATTCTCTGCATTTGCTATGTTTCTGATCCCTTTTCTTTGCACTTGTTGATATCCCCATCTGACATGCCTTTTTTGTCCACCACCCCTCCTCTTTGCCAAGCAAACTCCCTCTCAAATGTCATCTTTCTCAAACCCTTCCTGACTACTGAAAGCAGTTAGTCATAGTCTTTTCTGTTCTCCCACATCATTCTGTTCCTATCTATATTTTAGCACACAGCACTGTAAAGCTCGGTTTATGTATCTGTCACTTCTACTACCCTGTGAAATCCTCAAGAGCAAAGTTTGTTTCTGTTGTTTTTTTTTTTAAATACCCAGCACTCAGAACAAATATGCTGGCACATTAATCAAAATCAAATGAATCATTACAACTAAAATCAGCTTTGCTAACAGTTTCCTTTATATAGAAATAAATTAAAGACAAAAAGTTTTCAGTACATCTCCACGCCTTTCCCAGCTGCTATCTACCTGGGCACTAATCAGGGCAAGATGGACAGATAAGGGACTCTTTCTTTCTAGGTTGTGATGCTTTATATACATTCTTCCAGTTTCTTTAAGTCTTGACTATCCCATTACTCCAAAATTGCCTGCTTAGGACAGAACTGTTAAAAAGCTCTTCTGTGGATTGCTCCAAGCTCTAGTTTATGACTGCTGTTATAACATGGGCCTTGTTTCTTCTGGACTCCAGGTACCTTCAGCTGTTACTTCAACTCTATTTAAGCATTTAAATACTTCCTCAGTTTTAGTGCCCAAGATTTGTTTTTTAAACAACCAGGAGTGTATGTGTGTTCAGTCATGTCCAACTCTTTGCGACCCCATGGATGGTAGCCCACTAGGCTCTTCTGTCCATGGAATTTTCCAGGCAAGAATACTATTTCCTACTCCATTTCCTACTCCAGGGGATTCTCTACCACAAGAGTGAACCTGAGTCTCTCATGTCTCGTGCACTGACAGGCGGGTTCTTTACCCTGTGTCACCTGGGAAGCCCCAAAGCCACCAGGCAGTCCTTATGAATTATCCCAATCCCAAGAAATAAAAATTTCTTTTCACTTAGCTTTTATTTCTTTGCTTTTAATGAACCACACTTCAGCAAGACTCAACCCTCTCTAAACCAATACTCCATATCTTATACAACATAGCTCTCTTCTGATAATACTCATTTAATCACTGCCTAGACATAAGAATACAATGGAAATCACAGTAATTTATATATGTACGCTTTTTAAAAACTGAAGTAAAATACACATAATAAAATTTACTGTCTTAATAATCATTTTAAGTAGACAGTTCAGCAATGTTAAGTACATTTACATTGTTGCTCAGTCTTCAGAAACACTTTTTATCTTGCAAAATTGAAATGCTATGCTAATTAAACAACAAATCCCCATTCCCACCTCCTCCCAACTCCTGACAACCATCATTCCACCTTCTCTATGATTTTGCGTACTTGAGGTACCTCATGTAAGTGGAATCAGAAAGTAATTGTCTTTTTGTGACTGCCTTATTTCACATAGTATAATGCTCTCAAGGTTCAACCAGGCTACAGCATATGTCAGAATTTCCTTCTTAATGCTGAACACTATTTCATTGTAAGTATATACTATATATTGTTTATTCATCCACCCATTGATGAACATTTGGTTTTCTTCCATCTTTCAGTTATTATGAATAATGCTATAAACATGGGTGTATAAAAGTCTCTGAAACCTTCCTTTTAATTCTTTGGTTATGTGCCCAGAAGACGAATTGCTTTATATTTATTGAGATGTAATTCACACAATTTAAAGTAAACAATTTAGTGGTTTTTAGTAAATTTTCGGAGTTGTGCAACCATTACCACAATCAGTTTTAGAACACTCATCACTCCTAAAAGAAATTCTGTCCATAAGCAATCATCTATCACTACAAATTCACATCTCCCAAATTCATATCTCGAGCTGTACCTCTCTCTACTAACCTATTCAACTGCCTGGATATCTTAGCAGGCAAAACAAGTTTAACATGTCTGAAAAATGAACCCCTGAACCTTTCCCTATAAAACTTACTTTTCCCACAATATTCACATCTCTCATAAAAACTTCACCTGTCTAGTTGCTCAAACCAAAAATCTTAGAATCTTCCCTGCCTTCTTACACACCCTACTTTTAATCATGCAATGATCTGCTTGGTCGTATCTTCACAACATACCTAACACCCAAACTTCTCCTCACTTTGTCTACTACCAGCCTACTTCTCCCCTTGCCGTTCTCCTACTTCTGCCTTTGCTTTGCTACAATCCATTCTCAACACAGCAGCCCCCGAGATCCTTTCTACAAGTCAGATCATGTCATTCCCCTATCTGTCTCTCCACTGACCCCCAGTTTCACTCAGATTAAAAGCTAAAGTCCTCCCAACAGCCCCCACGGGCTGGGGTGAGATGGTCCACTGATGCTCTGCAACCTCCTCTCCTCCCAGCCTCTTCCAGGTTCTGTCTGCTGCAGTCACACTGGTCTCATTCGCTGCTCCTCTGAAAACACCAGGCACCCCCCCACCATACGCGAATTCACTGCTCCCACTGGACGCAGTGTTCTTTCCCCAGACCTGTATGATTCACTCCATCGCCTGGATAAGATCTTAGCTTAAATACATCCTTGTCAGTGAGGACGTCTTAACTGTTCTATTTAAATGGGTCCTATTCACCCCATACACTTGTCTGTTTTACTTATCTCCAAAGCTTTTACTGACAGGTAATTTTGTGCCTGATCCTACCACTTACAATACTTCTTTCAACTTGAAAAATATTAAAAAGGCGTAGAGTTAAGAATCATACAGTTATTCAAGTAGAACCTTACTGCACATATTATTAAGTAAACTCATTTTTTCACACACAAATTATAATTGTCCTTCAATGCCAACAATTATTTATTGAAAAAGTCAAGTATCATACTTTTCACAAGACAGTTTTACACGTATTTTCCATTTAGGGTGGTTTACATTACCTTGCCGATTAACTTCATTCTGAAGTAGCTCTTCCATTGCCTCCTCCTCAGCAATATCTAAAGGCGTGTCTCCTTCACTGTTGACAGCTCCTACATGTGCTCCCTGACCAATCAAAAACCTGTAGAATTAAAGGGAAGAGAGTTAAGCAATGATGGTATCATTGAAACAAGACTAAACGAATAGTTAATGAGGTAAGCTTCTATGCAAGAGCAGCAATAAAAACAAAGGAAAGCATAGGCACTATGTACACTTTAAGAAACTATCATAAGGCATGCTTTCTTTTTAAAATTTCGTATTTCCTAACTTTTCTGTAAGGAATACACTAATACAATACTAATAACGAACACTAATACTATACTAATATTGCAAAATACTAATACAAAAATGTCATTTAAAATATTACAAATATTTTAAAACAATTATGAAATCTTTCATAGGATTATTTCAGACTGTCTCCATTAAGATTTTTCATTATCTCCACATTGACTAGTTCCCTAACTGGTCTTCAAATTCCCAGTCTGATGTCATAAGCAAAAGTTCCTAACCTGAGATTCATGGACATAGTTCAGCAAGTCATTCAGCTGGTACAGATATCTTAAAATACTGTTAATGCTCATCACTATTTTGAAATTAAGGTAATTAGCAGACAAACTACTAGGTCTTTTTAATGTGTTACTGAAGAATACACATACTTTGCACTATTTTATTTTATGCATCTGAAATACAATACTAAGAACAGATTCACAGGCTTCATCACACCTGCCAAAGGGATCAAGGGATCCAGATACAAAATGGTTATGAATCTCTTTCACTAAACCAACTGCACATCTTCCAGAATCATCTACTTGACACGACTGGAGTCAGTTCTCAATTTGAGATTCTCTGAGTGGTTGTCCATGCTAGGAGAAGACACACATGGCCCTCATTGATCTGGTTTTACCTTCTTTTCAGCCTCATTCTTCTTTCCACATTTTAGACTCCAACAGTATAGAACGGTTTGTAGTTCCAGACTAAACCATGTTCTTTTGGCATCCGTGATTTTACTTTTCTTTACATAAAGAATGGTCCTTTTTTTTCTCATATTCCTAAATCAATCTACCCTTATTTGTTTATTTTTATAGGCTACATGACAATATATGCATTATAAAAACAGTGAATAAGAAAAAAAAGCCCACAGAGTTTTTAAAAAAGAAAAAACTCTATACCTCTTTTATTGTCATGTTCCCTCTCAGAGATAAACACTATCAATAGTATGGCAAGGATCTTTCTAGTACCTTTGCTATAAATTTATATGTTTGTATATAAACAAATATAGTTACTTTTGAGGTTCTTTAGGATTACTTTAAATGCACTTGAATGCAACACTTGCCTTCCAGTAGCTGAAAAATATTTCACAATATGATTGGATCAATTTTTAAAAAAATTTTTTTTTTATTAATTGGAGGCTAATTACTTTACAATATTGTAGTGGTTTTTGTCATACACTGACATGAATCAGCCATGGATATACATGTATTCCCCATCCCAATCCCCCCTCCCACCTCCCTGGATCAATTTTTTTTAATACTATCTTGCTAATGGATGTGTTCTTAAATGGAGATTTGACATTATCAATCTCTAAAATTTTTCTCAATGTGATGAGAATAAAGCACCTTATCATTTTATTTCCTGACTACACAGGAGGTTGAAAATATCTGGATGTGTTTACTAGTATTTGTATTTTCTCCTTTTGTGAACTTCCCATTTACATCTTTCACTTTTATTTTTACAGTCTGCATTAATTCAACAAACACTTATGGGATGTTATAGACTGAATGACTTTGTATTCCTCCAAAATTCATCTTGAAACCCCAAACTACCAACGTGATGGTATTAGGAGGCAGGATTTGGGGAAGGTAATCTAGGTATAGATCAGATCATGAGGGTGGAGAATCCATGATGGGATGAATGTTTTTAAAGAAGAAAATATTTTTCTGGAGTTGAGCTGGAGGAGTTGCTTGTATATTTTTGAGATTAATCCTTTGTCTGTTGCTTCGTTTGCTATTATTTTCTCCCAATCTGAGGGCTGTCTTTTCACCTTGCTTATAGTTTCCTTTGTTGTGCAAAAGCTTTTAAGTTTCATTAGGTCCCATTTGTTTATTTTTGCTTTT